ATAAAATATCGTAAAACATTAATGAGGACTTTGAATAATTGTTCTATATAACGAAAAAAAAGTAAATGCGTGTTACTCTTTCTCTCTTTCTCTCTCTTTTCTCTCTCTCTCTTTCTTCCTCTCTCTCTCTCTCATTTTTTTCTCTTCTTCTCTCTCTTTCGAATTTAAAAAAAAAGAAAAAATAATAATAATTCGATCGAATCCGGTAAGAAATTTTAAATTTCTTTTAGTTTCTCTTTCATTTTATTTTTAATTTTTCGAATTTGAAAAAAAAGGCGCGAAATAAAAAAAAAACCGCAAAAATAAATTAAAAATTTAAAAATTTTGCGGCTTTTCTTTCTGCTTTTTTTTTGCTATTATTTTGTCACGTAAAAAATTTTTTTTTTTTGAATCTCTAATATTATATTACCTCCTTTTCTTTACTTTTTTAACATAAAAAAATTTACCGTATTATTATTATTATTATTATTTTTTAATAAATTTGCGTAACCGGAAAAATGAAAATTGAAAGGTTAAAAAAAAATTTATTACGTTTCGTTAACGTAAAAGTACCCAAAAAAAAAAAATAATAATAATAAAAAATTGAAGAAGATGAAGAAGAAGTAGATGATGATGATAATGATGATGATGATGATGTTGAAGAAATAATAAGAACAAGTTTTATAAGAATGAACAAAACAGAATTTTCAAATTGATTTCTAATTGAATTATTTTCCAAATGGGATGTTGTCGGATAACAAAATAAAATAAAAAATTTTTTTTTCTTTTTTTTCCTTGTTTTATAATTTCATTTTATTTTTGTCGTGTAAGAAGAATCCACGTTGAAATCCACCACCACGTTTCCGTGGACGGACGGTTAAAACGATAAATCGCGTTAAACTTTTTTCTTTTTCCGCTATAATAAATTTTCTTTTTCCGGTAGGAATTTTTATGATACTTTACTCATTATTCGATTCCTCGTTTTTTTTCCAGGGGGGGGAGGGGCAAAAATTCACTCACGCGCTATTGTTATTATTATCATCTACCAAAAATTTTCCCGACAGACAAACAAACAAACAGGTGTACACGATTCAAAATTTAAAAAAAACAAACGTCATATAGATTAAATAACGAACGAATTATTATACTCACTTCCGGTCTTGCCTAGAAAAAATTTTTTTTCTTTCTTTTCCATCACTTCCTGTTATGATTTTATTATAAAGTATTATTATTATTATCATCATCAGTCAGGTTTTGTAAAAAAAAATTAAAATTTTTTCCTTTTTTTTTTTTTTTAATTATTATTATTATTATTTTATAAAAAAAATTTACTGGAATATCACAATAAAATTTAAAAAAAAAAATATTCAGGGAACGCGTTTTTTTCAAATAGGTAAATACACACATAATAATAATAATAATAATAATAATAATAATAATAATTGAATAAATATAATTAATCACGCACGACGACAAACGATTTAAACAAACAAACAAAAATAGAGAGAAACCGGAAGGTATACGGGATAAATGTGGGATGAGGAGGAGAAGGATGGGGGATGGGGAGAGGGAGGAGGGTGACGGGAGGTAGTGATCGATACCTAATCAATCGAAATAAGATTTTGATTTGTTTCTTTTACGTTTACATGCGGCTTTATTAAACGTTATTTTAGATTCTTTAACGATTTTTTTATTTTTAGGTTTTTTAACTTTTTTTTTCTTTATGGGAAATTTTCTCAAATTATTAAATTTACTCTGTATGCTGTTCAAATTGTTACTTTTAACGTTCTCACGTTCATTATTAGCCATGGTTTTACTACTACTACTACTATTATTATTATTATTATTATTATTATGACTATTACTACTACTATTACTGTTGTTGTTATTGTTGTTGTTGTTGGTAATGTATTCGGTAGGTTCAAAAATGGTCGTTTCAAATTTATGATTTTCTTTGACATCGGTTTTTTGAACATCTAGCGTATACTGACCGTCTGAAACGGTTATCAATTCGTGTGCTATAGATCTTATTAATGCGCTCCTTATGTTATCCTCGATATCCGCGGGATCCTTTCCAAGCATTTTCGCAATGAAACGTGTTATGTCATTGAACGTTGAACTTTCCCCTTGTAAATTATGTACAGCCAAAAGTACGAGCTCGGAAGGTGTTGCTGATATTTTTGATTTGTTCCCGGAACCGAGAGCTCGATTGACTAAATTCCCCATTTATATATTTGCTAAACTGCCATGACAATTTAATACTTACACAAAAAATAAATTATTTATTCAAAGATATACATATATATATATCTATAATTTTGTTATTGTTTACCTTTTTTTTTACATACATATATTTGAATATATATATATATAAATAAAATAATAACAAAAAAAGAAAAAATTTTTTTTTAAAAACAAAAATAAACCGAAGTAAGAAATTTAATTGTTTACATTTTTTATAATAATAATAATAATAATGTATTAAAATAGTATTTAATTATTTTTAAAATTTTTAATTTTTCGAATTTGAAGAATGATGAATAATTTTAAATAAAAAAAAAAAAGAATTTCGAAAATTATTTACGTTAAATGTAGTAGTTGAAATGTTTTTTATTTTTTTTGTCGTCGTCGTCGTGGTTGTTGTCCTGGTTGTTTTTGTGGTTGTTGTTGTTGTAGTAGGACTCACGATTATGTTGAAAAAAATTTTATTTATTTGCAAAAAGAGGTTAGAATACATCTTGACAAGATTAATTTTCTGCCCAAGGGACGTAGACCAATTAGCCGATGACAGAACGTCAGAGACGAACGTCATTCATATTTGATAACTATTCACTCTCTCTCTCTCTCTCTCTCTCTCTTTCACTCTTTTGTTCCAGACTCCTTTTTTTTCATCCCTCTTTTATTATTACGTAGACTTATTATTATTATTATTATTACTTTACAACCGTATTTATGTTTTTAAACCGTAGAATGTTTTATGAAAATTTTTTAATTATTTACAAAAAAAAATTTTCTTTTTTTTTTTTTAACCATCAACCCCCCTAGCTAAATTTTCTTTTTTCCATTTTCATTTTATTCAAGTTTTTCCATTCATCCATCTATTCATCCTTTTTTTTTTTTCCTTTTTTTTTGAAAGGCTCGTGATAAGTTTAAAAAAAAAATGGTTGAATTGTATTTCATCGGTTTTTTTTTTTTCGGTTCCGTCGTTGATAAAAAAAATTTTTTTTTTTTTTATTATGAGATATATTTTAAAATGAATTTGATTTATTATCCTGAGGGTTGGCCTTGACCACGTTATCAAAATTTTAACCTCCTTTAGGGGTTATAAGGTCAAATTTTAACTGATTAGTCTCAGACAAAATTTTCTCGCTTCGATTATTCATTGGTTTATTTTTTTTTTTTTTTGTGCGCGCGCGGCATTTTCCAATAAAAAAAAAAAATTTCTGATATCTCATTTGATTCTTTTGAATCGACTGACAATAAACATTAAAAAAAAATTCAAAATGGCGGATATTAATTGTTTTATTACGTCGGTAATAAAAAAAAAAAAATGATTTTTTCATCTTTTTAGTAAGGTAGAGAGTAATTGTGGCGGTGACCAGATTATTATTATCGAATTAGACAGATTCAAACAAGATAATCTAATAATCCGTTATGGAAATCAAAAAAGGAGCGAAGGTTGTAGTGGGAGCAGAAGGAGCAGCAGGAGCATCAACACCCCAAATATGAAAAGATTTTGAACCCTTCGGGGTTGTTGTCTTCCGCCGCAGGCTCAACCACACATTGGTTTTATATATGTCAAAATTCATCACGGGGTGGTTCTATTGAAATCTCACCCTTCTCTTTCTCTCACTTCTTGAAAATTCTTATCAATCTCTCGTAATTATATTTTCCCCTTTATCATCACCACTACCACCACCACCCTCACACGCACACGTGCACCTTTTTCTTTCTTTTTTTTTTTTATGTACCGCGCAAATCTGATCTCATTTTACACAATGATGTTGACTTTGAGGTCTCACAAGTTTATTTTTAAAAACGTAATCAACTATGATAAAATCTTTTATTATTATTATTATCATCATCATTATTATCATCATCATTTCTTCTTTTTTTTTCATTAATGATTTGAACTTTGAATCAAAGTTTTGTATATAGATGAATTATTGACAAAAAAAAAAAAAATTTTTGTTTTTAATAAATAAATCGATAGAATTTTAAAAATTAAAATTTGTAATTGTGCCCGCATATTAACGAACCACAAATAAAAATAAAAATAATAATAATAATTTTTTTAGTTAAACATTTAAAATTATTCAACTTTGACCTTTTTTTTTTAAAAAAAACTCGGGTTAAATAATTTATTAAAAACAAAAATTAATATCGAAGAAGACAAAAAAAAAAGTGTGATTTTATTTCAAGTTCTCTCCTATTTAATATTTATGTCTCGAGTTTATTAATAATAATGATTATTGACGTATTATTGAATAAGTAAAAATATGTAAAATCATTAATGCGGGGGGCGAATGGGGCGAGGGTAAAGGGAATAATCGGTCGGCGTCTTTAATCAAAAGGTAAAGAAAGTCTGTTGCTACCCTAAAACCTGGTGGTGGTGGTAAACCCGCGTGACAAAGCAGATTCCTTACGTTTGAGTGTGTGTGTGTGAGCGTATGTGCGTGTACACACACGCGCACGCACACGCGCACGCACACGAAGCACCATGAAAAAATAACCGTTAAAAATAATAAAAAATAATATTAAAAGAATGATGATAAGAACTCGGGAAAAAATTTAATTAAATCCCTTAAAAGGTTTTCATACGATTATTATTGATAAAAAAAAAAACAAAAACGCACGCGTAAATTTTTTGTTTGTTAGTACGCGCGTACTACTCGAATAAATAATAACAAACAAAAAATTATTTATTTATTTATTTATTCGAGTGGAACGAAACAAAAAAGGGAAAAATTAAAAAAAATTTTTTTGTCATCTCTTCTTTCAAAAATTTAAACAAAAGATTTTCGGGAAAAAAATTTTTTTTTAGGTACAGGAAAAGAAGAAAAAGAACAATCCAGAGAGTTAAGAAAATTTAAAAAGAAAAAATATTATTATTATTATTTATAAAAAGAGAACAAAAGAAATAGAATTGTTGAGATAACAGGAGTGTAGAAATGAGTTTTCTTTTTAATAACTCTTATAAATTTTAATATTTCATCATTTGTTGTTATCTCTTATTTTTTTTTTAATATTATTATTATTATCTGGCAGATGGTTACGCTTAATTGGGCTTACCCCCTTCCCTCCCCTCCCCTTCATTTTCCAGCATCCGTATCATTTTTTTTTTGTTTTTGTTTTCCTGAACTCTTTTGCACTTTTTATCGATTTCCACTCGAATTCGTTACGTTTTTCTTTCTTTTTCCATAAAGTTTTTCCATGTGAAAACAAAATTATTTCTTTTTTTTTTGGTTAAAAACAAATGAAATGTTTAAAAAAAAAAAAAACATGACTGACTAAAAAAAAAACCGTTTTATTCTTTAAATCGGTAGTAGTAGTAGTAGGTAGGCAACAAAGACAAGATCTGAAATCATTTTTTTTTTTTTTCTCTTTACCGCTTCGTTTATTTAACAAAAAATGATGTTTATCATAAGAAGACCCTTGAGGTCATATCGTACAATTTTTACTTCTGTACAAAAAAAAAAAAATTTAACGTGTTTTCCTTTTTCTTTTTCTTCTTCTTTTTTTTTCTCTCTGAATTATAACATTAATCTTAAAATCGTAAACATATACATATATAATAATAATAATAACGATGATGATGATGATAATAATCGTATTATATGAAAAACAAAAAATGTTTTTTTTTTTAAATATGGCGACGTTAAGTTGTAGAATTTTTTTTTTTTTTAAATATATTGATTTACGATAACTTGTTTGTTATTTGCACAAAAGGGTAAAAATTTAAGGGTTGTTATTATATATTTAATGACATTCGGTATCGTATTTATTCGTGACGACAAAAAAAAAAGAATAAAAGGTCAAAGGTTGTTTAACATAAAAAAAAAAAGATTTATTTAGTTCTTAGAATGTTAAATTTTTTTAATTTTTTTAAACCTTTTTTTTTTTTTTAATGACCCGTTCGAAACAACCATAATTTTTTTTTTCAAATATATATAAAATGAAGATTCTGTAATAATAATAATAATAACTTTTTTTTATTACTTTTTATTACGTGGTAATAAATAATAAAAAAAAAAAAATTATTACTTCCAAATGTTTGTTAAAAATAAAATTTAAACCTCGTCATCGTCATCGTCATCGATGAGGATAAACTAAATTAAACATTTTTAAAATTTTGTATTAACAACAACAAACAAACAAACAAACAAAGGAAATAATAATAATAATTGAGTTATTTTTTCGCGCGCAAAAAAAAAATTGTTTAATTAAAAGAAAAGTAAAAAAAAGTTTTTTTTTGTTAAAGGGAAAACAATATCTTAGTTAAAATTTTCCTTTTTTTCCTTTTTCTTTCCTTTTTTTTCTTCCTTTTTTTAGTAAATTGATAAAAATAAAAAAACTTTTTCTTCTTATTATATAAAATAACAAAAAAAAAAAAAAACTTTAGAATTTTAAATTAATTTAAAAAAAGGAAAAAAGGAAAAAAAAAGGAAAAAAGAAAATCTTTTAGTGATTAATTATTTTTGATTGTGGAAAAATAAAAGGAGAAGGAAAAGGAAAAAAAAAAGGGTTGTTGCCAAAGGAAATTCACAATCTGTCTTTTTTTTGTTAACTTATTATTATTATTATTATTATTATTATTATTATTATTATTATTATTATTATTACTATTATTATTATTAACAAAAAGGAGGATCTAAACCATTTTTCTTACTTGTTTCCTTGTTTTTTCTTTTTTTTCTTTTAACAAAATTTTCTTTTTTTATTATTATTATTATTTTCTTCTTTTTGTAAGAAGAGAATAAAAAAAGGATGAGAATAGCTGAATAGAATAGATGAAGAGTAAAAGGAAAAAAAAAGAAATTCTCGTCCGCCATTAGTTTCATTTTATTATTATTATTATAACTTCATTAAAAAAAAAAAATTTTTTTAACTTTTAGTTTTTTTAAAAAAAAACTTTTTTATTAACCTTTGTTCTTCGGGAGCCATATTTACAAAAAAAAGTTCATTTTTTACATTTAATTAAAGTAATAAAAGTATTATTATTATTA